CCAGATCGTAGTAATAAAGTTTTAACCATGCTTACATGTGCAAATTAGCAATGAATACAAATATTAACAAAGCTTTATTGACAGACACGTGTGACAACCTTCTATTCAGTTGCAAGCGTGGCAAGAAAGTAAAGAAACGTTCACCGAAAAAAAATCGTCGATTTTTTGTTGGCTTATGAAGAGCTATAAGAGTGATGACACGGGCTCGATGTTTGAAAGTCTTTCAAATTAAACTTGACTTTGCTATCTTTTAGCTCTAAGTAATAAAATAGAGGCAGGGAAACTCTCCAAAGAGTACTGACAGAAAGAAAAAAAAATACGCACACACGCACACGTGTGTTTTACACGACCTGATCGGCTCTGATCGTAGTTTTTTAATTAACTTTTTAGATGTTCTTATTTTTCCTAAAAAAAAATGCGATTTTATAAAACGAAGAGGGCTTAAGTGAAAGAAATAATATTCTCCAGTAGTTGTATCTTCATTTACTCATTGAAGGCCAATGCTAAAATAAGTGAAAGCTCGTCAACTTCACTTTTTATGTCATGGTAAGAAATAACAGCTTAGCTTGCAAATATTAAATGAGAGCAGTGCAAGAGGACTTGTTTCCAACTCCAACAGGTCGGAAGTGAAACAAAATGAAAAGACGCAGGAGAGCGCAGACGGAGTTATGAATTCAACACCAAGAGATTGTGGACACTAATTTGTATGTTTCACAGTGTTCAACCTTTCTGAGCTTCTAGATTAAGTTATACAATTTTTCATCAGGAACACTCATTAGTTATTTTGAAATTTATTTCAGAATAAAAATCTATATACAGATTTACTCATAATTATATCCAGATAAATGCTCAATTCAGAGTTTCCCAAAGTTTGACCGGTTTTAGTCCGTCATCGACGGCCGTTTACCATCATTGTTCACACGCGGACACAGTTAGTGTGTCATTTGACTCAGTGGCGTACCTTTTTGCTCACTTAAACCGCATGCAATTTTATCCGACAACCCAGGTACTGATATTCTTGGTCGTGCCATCGGACACTCAGAAGTCGCCACGTCTTTTCACTTACTTCCTGTTGTCTGTCGTGTCATTTTACTGTACCCGTACGCTCTCCTAATTATACTTTTTCTCGTGGAGAGTCACACAGCATTTTCAGACACATCAAAGCCGATCAAATGGAAGCAACGTCTTAGCCACCACGAACATGCCAAACTAGCATGAACATAGACTTAAGGAAATTTGCCGTAGCAGTCAATCTTCAAGTTTTCATGTTATCAAAGGCGTCTTTCCTCGCGGCCCGGGTGATTTTCAAGTTTCGGGAGGTTCTTGCATGTTACTACAATTGGTACCCACAATTAATATACCTTTGGTTAGATAACTATAATGCCTTGTCCCTGGGAGAACGATTGATTCAAAGGATGTAAAGATCCATGGGAAAAGGAAAGTCATGTAACGACAAATAAACGCACTCGCTGATTGCAGAAAGAAGGATCAGTTTGAGTCTCAACAGTCAATAACAGTGTTTGCAGTAATCGCAATCACTAGACGATAAACATACGCAAGTATATTTACGTTATCTTTATTTAAACAACAATCACGTGGGGTTAGATCATTAGTTTTCGGTGTTTAATTTACACATCCCAACCTGTTTTTATGTCATCAATGGACAGTAAACATTTTTGTTTCATTTAATTCATATGTTCTGAAAAATTATTAAATTAACCGCTTTGACGAAACTTCGTTTATCATTCTGCATCACAAATTCCGGCTCAGCAACCCACGCGTTTTGCAGCGTCACACAAACGGCGCTTCATAAAGGCACTTTCAGTATCGTCCTGTAAATACGGAGCGAGAAAGCAAAAAGAAAAATGGAAAACATATCAAATGAGATGAACATGTTCAATAGTTAGTGAATTATATACACCTGCCAAAAAATAGAGGTAAGAAAAAGACCCCGCTAACAGTAAATATATGACTCTGAACAAACTCGAAGAGCTACAAATATGACAAGGATATTTATTCGTGGTGTGAACTTTACTTTTCTCGGATAAAATAAACCTAGACAACTGACTTCATTTCATCAGGGCTTTTGAAACACCCCGGCATAACATGACTTTTCCCTTGTGTTAAATGAATAAAGGAAAGGGTAAACCCATACGAAACTTTGCAGTATACGCACATACGTACATGAAAGTTGATCTTCCGCGAACGTTCAACTTTGCGACCACAACGTCCTGGGGGAAGGCCCATACACGCTCCGTTTAGGGAGGCATGAGATTCAGGAGAAAACAACATTACAAGGAAAAGAAAACAAAGGAGACAGGAAAACAATTTGACTGCCATTCTGTCCTCGGATACTTTTCGATCAGTAAGGATCTGTTTCGGGTTGCTGCTGTGGAAGGCTTGTAGGCCGCTTGTTTTATATCTCAAATAGGCTGAAACGACTTTAAATTATTTAAGAAAAGTGACAGAAGTCTTTTATCAAGCGGTCTACTAAGTAGAAAAAAAGACTATAAAGCAATCAAACTGTCCGTGAAAATGAAAATAGTTGGCTTTACCCTTTTCATAAGGATTAATAAAGAGTGGCACACAATGGGTGCTCACTAATTAAATATATGGATTTAATTGTAGCATTATTTACTGGTTATAAATTTAGGTATTAAGTCCTCGGGTATCAATTACGTCCTTTTAGTTTAAGAGATGTACCCATTTAAAGGCAAATATATAAAAAAAAAATTCATCATGATACTTAGTAAACTCGATTGACTGCACACATGTCTTTGAAACCGTCAACCGATAGAAGATGTCACTTAAAATGTTTCATAGTTATTTCACTATCACTGTTATTGTTATTGTTATTTTCATTTTTTCACTATCTTTTCTTTTTTTTTTATTGATCTGTACTTTGGATCAGAAACGACAATTTCTTAACACTCGTTTATCAGATTTCAAATTCGAAGGAGTATCATAAGTTTAATCATGAACCAACATGCCCTGATACTGTCAGTCAAACCAGGTAGGAAAGGTTAAAAGACCTTGCAAAAACTATTATTATTTTCTTTTCCTTGCTACGTATTTTTGAACTCTTACTTTTTGAATTTCATATTACTGATGTAACTTAAAGAAAATTTGATAGAAGTTGATGAGAATCGACTCCCACATTGAAGATGATCCATATGAGCGTCAACACTTTAGCAATTGAGTGCAGATATCATTTTCACGTGAACGTAAGATAATCCATTCTAACCAACTCTTAACCGCAAATCAGTGAGTTTTTAGTTTCTTTCTTGAGTAGTAAGAGTAAATAAACCAGGCCCTATCCTTAAAAAGAGTTACCATCCACCTACTACAGATACAACGTGTTTAAAAAAAAGCTGCTGACAGAGCCATCACAGTGAGATGGGAAAAAGGAGGAAAAAAATCAACGAAAGTTTTGGAGGAATTTTCAGCTTGCCTAAGGTGAAATATCAAGCCATGGCTCAGATAGTTTCTTCAAAATTATTCCGCCTAGCGTATTTTAAAACGCTGCGTTTCAGTGCGGACAGATGAAAATGAAGGCTATTGAAAACGATGACGAACAAATTAACAGATTTGATCTGTTCCAGTCCTAAACGAAACATCGGTCCAAGATGGTGTATAACCTTATGATGTTTTCCTTACTGTTTATGAGCTTTGTTCAATGTCTTCAGCTAGACATAGTCTTGTACAATTCGCGAGCCAACTTCAGAAGAAGAATAGGGATCATGCAAAGATTGGTATTATTTTCAATCCCATGTCCCACTTTGTGTTGAAAAGTGAGGACCCCGCGAAAACATTGGTGTGGTGAGAAATACTTTGCTTCACTTTCGCCTACATGAAAACGAAGACTTTTGAAAACGTATAAGTGTGGTTCATTCATGCATAGCCTATTTCAAAAAAGCGCCTTATACTTATTTCCGGTTTAGTGACGTTTCCAAGGCAACAACTACTTTGTTTTCAAAGGCAATTGTTGCCGTAATTGACCTCAAACTTTAGTCTACAATTCTAATCTAGGTGTATTTAACTCTCCAGGGTTAGCCAACAAAACATTAATTAGTTTAATGGCCGAGCAGTTTGGAGATTCAGCTAATGATTTGAAGTACCGGTTAGTCAATCTCGGTTGATATATATTCCGACTTCTTTCACCGCCTCTGTCTCTAATTCATTTGTTAGTGCATATGATTACTAATTTTTGTTTGTAACTACGTGATTTTGCTGCCAGCTGAAGTCAGATAACTTCTGAAGATTTCGAAATATCTTTAACGATTTTCGCTATACCAGTACCAAATCACCAGTCAAGGCTCGAGATATTTTTTGTTTTGATAGCACTATAATTGTCTTTTTATGAAAATTATCTAAAATGTTAATTTCGTGTATGATGTTCTGGTGCCTAAAACTGGTTTGGCTTTTTACTATAATCAGTCATAAACAGCTACTGATTAATTAAGTTTTATAAGTGTTACTTTCATCCCTAAGCCTACCGTAAGAATTCTATCCCGCTACATAGGAGGAAAATGTGCTCAGTAGAGCTCTGAAATGCTCCTCTGAGAACTAATTGCTACATAAATTTTCCTGTCTCGCGCTCTTCAAGAGACAAAAGAAATATGTTTTGAATGATAAAACCAGTACACTCAAATGATGATTAATTCATCCTTGCGTAGCACCGCGTACTGAAAAAAATTAATCGAGAGCGAAGAAAGTTTTATTGCATCTTCTCGTCCTTTAAATGTATGCCAACCTCCCTGCATCTTTTAAGAAGGAAAAAGCCGAATGAATTTAGCTTTTATTCAAAGACAAAACCCCGAATTATTCCTTCCTATATTGTTATTCTAATGATGAGGTAATAAACGCGTGAAAAAACTCGACAAGGGCGACAATTCATCGCACCTTCTATGACTCTTGGTTGAGTTTCGATCTTGCGTCATAATCGCACTGTCACGGTTAGAGATTCGTTCGGCCAACAGTTATAGCCAGTTTGTTTCACAATGAAACATCTCACCACGAAAAACGTTCGCCTTTACTTCTTTACTGCCTTTTTTATCTGTTTGGCCTTCCGTTGCCTCCTGGGTATGGCCAAAACCACGCGAAGTTTCAGTCGCGGACAGAGAGCGTTTAAAGATAACACCACGGGTTTGCCAGACGTCCTCAAGAGATTGAAATCCTTGGAAGAAAAGTAAGACTTGGAGATTGCTTAAGAACCGAGTTTGAATCATTGCACCTGAAAACGCGAGCGGCAAAATTCAATTCCGTTCCTGTTTTCCAACCCGCGCATTCCACAGAAAAAACAAACAAGCAAACAAAAAACCAAAAAGAAACCTCTCATTCGCAACAAATACAGAATTAAATTATTACCAAAACGGTTGGAAGGCAGACGGCAAAATTTGAATTCCAATGCGCACTTTCTACGGCTATAACGAACCGTAAACCACCGCTGTCAGTATCATGGTAGGACGAAATGAACGAAAAGATGTTCTTCAAATTTGGGAAGTTATGATCGATTCGATGATGGGAATTATTGCGTGACCGTTTAGATAAGGACATACAGTATCTCCTTTATAGAAACGTTTTTAAATCAATTGATGGCATGACAAAACAAGGCGTAGGAAAGGATTTCCTTGAAGCCTTTTTCAGTCTCGATAGCCTCAAATTGCAAAAAATTAATTTAACTTAAGCGTTCATTCAAAGATGCCTATAAAAATTTCACTTGACACACTATTAGCCTTTATATATCTCCTGCATTATTTGCCTTTATTTTAAACCAGCGTTTACACTAAGATACCCGTGAAAAATAAACTAGATAGAATGTTATGATTTTCTTTCATTCTGTATTAATTCAGGTCATCGCATAATCATTCTTATAGTGTTTTAAATAATTGCTTGAAGGATGAAAGAATTTTACTTCAAGAATTCAGTTTGTGTTCGATGTCAAACACCAATCTTAAAATTGAAATATCTTAAGGAGGTTCCATAGAGTTTTTGCTAAGTGTTGGCACACGCGCCAGCGTCATGTTTTTCTAAAAAAAAAATTATGTTTTCACTTTTCAAGGTCACTAACAACTATCAAAAGGCAATGAGCAAGGTTCGGACTATCGTTTGCTGTAGTAAATATTATAAAATTAAGCTAAGGCTCCACGAAGGGAGACGCTCGCCAGCGATAATTTGGGTTTGCTTTTGATTTTCTTCAATTTGCTTTAATGAAATATCTCAAATTTTTCACAATTAGTGAAAATTTTCCTGCCGATCATTTAAAAACAGAAAAAAAGGGGTTACAGAGGCAGTTTCCTCGCTATTTGCAATTTTGATAACTGACTCTTACTGTCAACTGAATGATTGTTCGTGAACCGATGATTTCAGCTGATGATAATTTTTCGAGGTTATGTAAGAGGCTTTACTTAATGATGCCATCAGAACCTGATGATATTTATTATCAGATTTTCTGCTCTGCAAATTTCGTCCAAATTAGTCTACTTTTTACTGTGACTGTTTTTAATTTTTTATTTTTTTTTTGCACAGGATAGATGCGTTACTGAAACCAAGACTTCAAGACTCGTGGTTTTTGGCCTACGTTTAGGTTTGAATAATAACGGATCCTTTGGCTTTGTGTAAAGTATTCGAATTAATAGCGTGCAAGATAAGCTGTTCGCGAAGTATCGCAGAAAGTTAGGGCTTCGTTCAGGGAAAAAGAGGCATTCTGGAAATTAAATTTATTATTTTTCCAGCAATGCTGATGTTAATCTTCAAAGGTTATCTGCGAAATACTATTTAAGGTAGAAACTGCAGGTTTGTGATGGCGCTACTTACTGAATTTATTAAAGATTGACAATTATGAAAGGCCAACCAGAGATCGTCAGTTTGAGGCAAGAGGATACAAACAAAAATAAACTCAAAGTATAAACACCTACAAAGAAATAAACAGAGATGGTAAGCCCATAATTACAAAAGAAAAACTTGTTCAAAAAGGTGGGAAAGGATCAAAATATACCATTGTACAATCAGTCGGTTAATGACAGACAGAAAGACAGAAGTATTGAGGCTTAAGTGAGTCAAACAGATAGGAGACCAAATGAAGTAATAGAATGAAAAATTTAGTAAACAGAGATGCAGAGAGACTCTTGAAATGACAAAGGGTGAGCAGTGTTGAAATCATTTACGGAAAATAGTTTCTATTTAAAACCGGCAAGCCGTACTGAGTTTCAGTGTGTTATTTTAATGTTTAGTACGATATATGTCGCTATATCGTAGGGGTTCATGGGAGAAGTAACATGAAAGGCTTAATGGGACCACCTGGGCCACCTGGACTTCCTGGAAAACCTGGACGAATCGGAGCAAAAGGTGAGCTTTTGAGGAAAACCAAAGACTAAAACTAAAGAAGAGAAGCATATCAGTAGCTGAGCAATTTGTTTTAATCATGATAATGATCATAATAATAATGATTATGATAATGGTGGAGGTAACATGACAATTTTACCTCTGAATAAGATGAGTTGATTAAAGTGAGAACTGAAAAAAAATATTGAACAGGAAAAAATCTCCATTTGTTTACAATGTCAATCATTTTATGCTGCAAATGATTGTAACGAAGAATATTCCTAACGTACAATATGAAAGTGGTATGAGGCTCTGTCGCAACAAGCCCAACAGTTCATAAAAACTGCACAAAAATCCACCACAATGACAAAATATGTTCAACAGATTCAAGCGATCATCTTCGAAGGTGCTCATTTAAAATGTTCCATTTAGTTTATTACAAAGCAAACAAATATCTCCAACCAAAAAGCCGACGTTTCAATTAAATTTTTGACAGGAGAAGAGGGAAAACCAGGAACCATAAAATCTGTTCCAGGCTCTCCAGGTCCTAAGGGGGAACATGGAGCACGTGGAAGTCCTGGAACCCAAGGGGCTAAAGGCGAGAAAGGGAAACCTGGGAGGTCCGGGGTGAAGTATGTTCGCTGGGGAAGAACCACGTGTCCCAGTGGTGCTCAGATTGTCTACAAAGGTAAGGGTCATTAAATAACTAGAATTGCACGTCAGTTTCAAGAGATTGAGAAGTACACTACTCAATTTTATGACGTAGTAGTGTCATAATCATGCGTCACATTCGAAATTCCCGATCGAAGGGTTTTTTTCCCCTATATAAACGGATTTAAGGTACCAGAATGCCTTACTAAATCGCTATTTCACTGAGTGCAACACCAGTGAGTGTTGATGAAAGATGAATCTTTTTTTTACAGAACTTTAGTGCTCCCAAATAGTCGAGTAACATACCAGAGTTCCCTTTTTATTGAACCTTGCATTTATAAGTCGAGAAACAAGGGTCATCAACAATTTTCATTTTAGGATTGATAGGTGGCGAACGTTACAATCATCAAGGCGGCGGAGTAAACTATCTCTGTCTTCCAAGCAGCCCAAAGTATGACAAGTACAAAGATGGACATCAGAGCGCGGGATTCGTGTATGGAACTGAGTATGAAGTAAATTCTTTCAACCCTTTTACGAAATCCCTCGATGACCACGATGCACCGTGCGTTGTATGTTTTGTCAGGTCACGTGCCTCAATGCTTATGATGCCTGCAAGGAATGATTGTCCATCTGGGTGGACCGAGGAGTACCATGGGTACTTGATGACTGAATACTACGACCACAAGAAGCAGCGCGACTACGTATGTGTTGACAAGGACGCAGAGGCTCGCCCAGGTACGGCGGCAAGCAAAGATGGTGCATTACTGTACCCCGTGGAAGGTGTTTGTGGTTCACTCCCGTGTCATCCATATGTCGCCGACAGAGAGTTGACCTGCGCTGTATGCACCAAGTAACAGGAGGGCAGATTCCTCTTGTTCACAAGCGGACATTATTAAACCTTGGGGTCTTGATTCTAGAGACTGTAGCGATTATTTTGTCAAAGAAAAGGTATTTGTACTGAGTTGTAGGAATAAAAGGTAAAAAGCGATGGCTAAATTTTAACGAGTCCTTAAACCATGGCACTTGTATGTCTTTTGCCTTGTCAGCAGTTTGCCTCTATTACCTCTGATTTCTCTCTAACTCTGCCAACCAGCTGTTGAACTTGTCTACGGCCCAAGCCTATTCCATACCGACATTGATGATCAATATTGGTTATCCCACTAAAACTACAAGCATTAGTATTGGTGACAACTACAGCAGAAAGAAGGAAAGAAAAAAAAATTAAAACTGGCAAAATTTACTCTTAGACTTGTGCATAATTTCCCTCTTGAAAGTTGTTAAAAAGTCAAAAAATTTTCTAAAGCAGCTGAACTAAAGCGGAAAAAAAAATGCTACCTCGCGAAAATTTGCAGGCACTTGAGACACGATGCTTCTTTTCCCTCCTTTGACTTTGCAGCTAGTTTGTTTTACCCTGAAGAGTATCTATGCCTGGGAATGAAAGCCATACTCTTTGCTTGAATCAGCATCCGTCACGACTTTCAAATAGTATTGCCGCTGAGTGATCGATATCCCCCGAGAGCATTGTGGTCTTACTTGTGAAATACTGTGAAGTGTTCAGTAAACATTTTAGAGACAGAATTGAGGATGTTATCAGGATCCAAGAAATACCAAGAAAACTATTCTTGGCATTAGTGTTTTAATGCTGCCTTAAATTATTTGAAAACGGAAAATGTTGTGTTAGTTACCTGGCATGATATGAATATTTGAGGAAGTCCAGTTTTATCAAAGTTTTTAGGGGTCCAAATAAATAATTTTTAAAAAATTTATCTTCGAATGACTCAATCGTCAGACAAACAAAAACTAAATTTTTACCATTATTTATCAAACAAACTGCGGCGTTCTACAAGGATTTCCAGCTCTGAGAAAAGTTGTAACAACATATGTGAAAAATACGATACTTTTTCACGTGTTGATATCGCCAATCAGCTGCTGACACGTCACACGCCTTTCGCGCCACTCGGTCAGGTTGATGAATGAAAGGCAAAGCCTTCACCATTTTCAATCCAAGGTCGTTTGTGGGGATATTTTCGGATTATGGCTGCTAAAAACCTAAAATATCCGTATCGACGCTGAAAGCGGGGGTAAACCTGAAATTTGCTCCAAAACTCAGTTTTCTGTTTTCTTGGAATTTGTAGCTTTGGGTATTTAAGTTTATTATGGAAAATAATTTCCCACTTAGTTTCATCATTTTTGACTTTTTAAGCGATTTCAAAATTCCCGATCTGGCTAATTGCGTGGTTACCAAGGCAACGAGAATAGCATTTTTTGATTTATCAGTAGCTTATGACGTGTTATTCTGGCAACCAAGCTCTCAACAGGCGGGATTTAACGAGCGATGCCTTATTTAGTCTTATTTGAATAGTTTTTGTAGGATAAAACCATTATGGGATAGATTTAGAGTCAGTTTCAGTCGAATGTAACACTCAGTTCACACATAGCAGTAAATCAAAGGTAAGTTTATCGAAAATCGTTGGAGAGAAAAGTAAATCTGTCTACAGGAAGAAAAGAAAGAAAAATTTTTCTGGAAGGCGAAAACAGGAAGAAGAGTCAGAAGAAGCCGCTCCTGTTGTTGACGAAATCGCCTCCTCAACTCCGAGCACTTCCCGGGATGAAAATCAGCTCTCCGACTCGGACTTTAAAGAAACTGTTGGTTCCTCTAGAAAGAAAATGAAATATGCCGACGAGGAGCTTCTTTTAGACAGCTCTGATGTTGAGTATACCTTCAATACCGAGGAAGGCAAAATTTCCGCACAACTCCATACTACATTATGCATTCAGTTCTTGAACAGAGGAAACAATGACACAACAATACATTTCGATTGGGAAAACAGATTTATTTTACAATAGTACGGGGCTGTGCGGAAACTTTACCCCGAGGAAAGCGAGGGATATGAATTTATAGATGTGAAAAATTTATCCAGGACGGTCTCAAAAGCGCACGTGTGTGAAGTCTATGGCGTTCTCTGTTCTCGATTATGACTTATTTCCCTTACATATCGACTTTTAATTCCAGTTTTCCCCGCTGAATTGCGCTGATTTATCCATTAAATCTTTAAGAGAAAGACTTCTAGGTATTGTGCATATACACTGTAAAATAAAAATTATGGGAAAAAAATCACAGAATGTATATTTCTGACTTAAAGTCTTTTTAAAGTATCTTACATTTTTCACTTGATTTGTATTTCAAGGTACCTTAACTTCCAACTTCCAACTTCCAACAACCAATAGTGTAACCCAGCGAGGGAAACCATATGACATTAACCACCGAGCTGTCTACCATGCTACAGAAAGTGGCAGCGGTTACAAAGGCCTCGCCACATTCTGTGGTATAATGAATATGCCTTGCTTTTCTAAGCCTGCATACAAAAAACAAGTGGAAAACATCTTGGAAGCCCTTGAGGATGAAGCAAAGGAGGATATGAGAAAAGCTGGAGCAAGATTTTGGCGGCAGATTTTAGAAGAAAACCCAGGAAAAGATCAGTGACGTTCAAACTTTCCCAGAAAGGGAAGAAAACCATAATACTGCATGAAAAACCGAACGTTACGTATTCAGTGGCTTTAGTAATGGCATTTCTCGCGGCTGAAGGAGAAAATCGACAACTGGAAGATTTGCCATGGGCCTATTTTGGCCGTTTACCTGAATGATTTCTTCTGTCGGTGAGGACCAATTCAATAACTGAGAATTTTTTGTAGTGAAAATTAGGCCCATTGTTTGTTTTTATAGTAATTTTCATCATGAGTGCGCCAACGCACTTTACGATTTGTATTCGTGGATTGTCGATCCTTTTTATTTTCATTCATTACTAGAGTCGACTATTCTTGTCAGTAAAGGACTATTGTGTTTATATGATAAACAAAGTAATACATGGTTGCATGTAGATATGAAATTTCTCTTTTCGTGTTCAACTCGATAGCTCACGAGTGAGCGTAGCTCTATCGGGTTGAACACTCGGAGGGAAATTCCATTTCTACGCCTGCCCATGCATTATTCTCTATATGATGGTATTTTATCACGATGAATATTTATAGCCTTTTAAGGATACTGCCGAACTGTTTCAATGCGGAGCAAGTTAGACCACTTAAAATAGAGCTATTTTCAACAACAAATAACAGTGACCCATTTTTAAATGGAAAGGGCTTCTTGTCTACAGATCATCAATCGGCCTAAATTTAAACTTCGATGATCACAAAAAAATGCATTTGTTACGTCAACTGTCAAAAAAGCAGCTCAATATTAACCGTCACCTTCAAGGTCTCTCAGATGCTTCTATTTTATCCGCTTGCCGCACGAACAGTTTTAGACTCTAAAATCTTCGGGCTTGTAAAGTAGTCTCTTTCTTTCAAATATACTCACTTCGTATCATTTTTATTGACCTTTGCCCAGACTAATGGTTTGAAAATATTTTTATATGACAAATTAATATTTCCTTTATTCAAAATAGTTTTTTTTATTTAACAAATAGAGAAGTCTTGACTATGCTCTGTTCTGTTGTAAAGTGCGCAGGAAGCGGCTAGAGCACGAAAGAAGTGTAGGGGGAAACACGAGACGTAGTCTTCACTTCTTGAGTGCTCTAGCCGCTTCCTAAGTGCTTTACAACAGAACAGAGCACAGCCAAGGCTTCATGACGAGCTTTGAACATCAAAAGAATTCGGCCCCCCCACCATCTACTCGAGGTGTTAACTCCTGTCAGTTATACTTATGGCTTTATAGACTTTTGTTGGACAAAAGCAATTTAACACGTTTAATATACAAAATATCAATTAGCACGTTTCATGAAATAATAACCCACGGCAGATCTTGCAATGGGATAGTTCACAACATCTGAGGACTTTGCAAGCGAACAACGTGTTTTCCCACCCCAGAAAAAAAACTCAAATGAAGTAAAATAATAAAATTTTTTTTTTTAATTTTCTCTGCCGTGTTTTTCTTGTCAGTATTAAACAAAGTTTAACTCCAGCTGGAACATCGCACTTACTGGAAATCTACCCTCTGAACACTTCACTATGCGCCCTTTAAAGTTTCTTTATTAGAGGGAGTGATATCACTCGTAAGTAGCATGATGTTTTTCAATCGATGCGAACCAAATGCTGAAAGAGTGTCAAAATTGAGCTTGCCGCCATTTTCGGTGCTTCAGAAAAACAAGTTAAGAGAAATATTTTATATTTTGGAGCGTTGTCCGTGAAGTTTGTGCGCGTGAGTTTTGAAGCAGTATCAAGGATTTTACCACAAGACTGATGTTTTGCAGCTGCCATTTAGGAGGTGTCAACCTCTCTCTTTTGCTGCGGTAGAACGCTATCATCACAATCTATGCAAGCATCACTTTCTGTGGCATGTAACAAGCCGTGCACACAGCAAATTGTCCTTGTCGGCCTGAGAACCAAGTAAAAATTGTCCCTGAATGTAGCTTGTCTAACTCTCATTTTTCCATGTCGTAAACGATCAGGAGAGGACCATTTTATCGAATCGCGAAAAGATACGAAAATTATCGGGTAGTCACGCTTGTCACACAACCATGCCTATTACGTAAGTTACTTGTTCCCAGACTCTTAAAACGCATGTTTGTGTGGCGCGCCACTGAGCTCAACAAGTACAAATGTACAAAACGGGAAATTTAGATTTATAATTACCCAGGAAGAGTTAATATCAAAAATGAGAGGCAAAAATAAAATTCAAGTGAACTTAGTACTGCTTTGGCGCCGAAACGCGATGGAGGGAAAATCTCCCGCTCTTCAGCCGACTCTCTCGTGGCCAGTTATTCAAGTGTTTGCGCCCTGCATCGATCATCAGAAGAACTGGTATGCAGTCACAAAGGAATCATGTGGAATTATTCCACGATTCTTTTCTCAGAATATC